TCAGGTACTCTCTTTAAAAAAAATCGCGTAAGACTAACAACTGATTCAATTCTCCAATGTGTGTTCTGGAAATTTTCGACTTGTTGCCCCAGGGGACTCACAAGTCTCACAGCAACAACTGACAGCGGGACGATGCAACGTCTCTAGAAAAATCCCGTCGGAAAAACGACTAAAGCGTCTTCTTCTAAGCAAGTGACTCTTCAGATGCATTCCATCTGCTTTTCCTTTAAGAATATGAGGTCAGTGAAAATTTGAAGAGATGAAGTTAAAGCAGCTGAAAATTTGTTGTTCACTCCGACAGTCACCAAAAACGGCTTCGTGTTTTGAAATTGCACCGGAAGTCAGATACGCAAATCACATACCGACATTCGGGATAATTTAGAAATTACATGTGAATTGAACCGTTTGTTACTTCTTCTCCAACATAGCATATGCACAAGTGAACCCGCTCTGTAGCTATCAGTCTTCAATAGCTGTCTTAGTAGATCGGAGCTAGTCGGTAGGCGAAAATTGACACTTCCACAAAGTGGTATGGCTTTTTCAGTATTAAGTATATTTATATATATTATAGTCATTATATCTGTGCCGATTTCGCCTATATTCTCTTATTTTCGCTTGAGCAGACGAGAGATCTCGACTGAGTCACGTTGGGGAGCAATCCATCATTTCTATTAATTTATTTAATTTATTTGATTTATTTTGAACTGATCCTTGTGATCCTTAATCCTTGATCCGGTGATCGGTGATCCTTGATCCTTGATCCTGTTTTTCCAAGAAACCGTACGCTTTTAGATTTTCTGGCCAGGCTGAGTGAAATAAAAAATAAGTTGTTATCACAGAAAACAACTTCTTTATGATTGATTTATCTAATTTTACCATTGTTGCTGTTTGATGTTCACAATTACCTCCACTAACATTGGTCATGAGTTTTAACTTATTTTGATTGGTTGGTTTGTTTTAAATCAGCTTAGCATTCTTGAATTATTTAATGGTGGCTAAATGTATTGAATTAAACACTGCAGTACTCTTCAAGCATTTTTTATGCGCAAATTTGTCCTTGAGAATATGTTTGCTTAAGTGCACAAACAGGACAATTTCCTATTTTCACAATTGTGCCTTTGACTCTGAACAGTTGTTACTAAAGAAAACAACTTTCAAACTATTGTTTTGTTTTACTCTTATTGTTGTTTGATGATTACCATAACCTCCAGTAACTTTGATCAGTTTTAAATTATTTTTATTATTTTTATTTTAATATTCAGCTGTAGCCTTTCTTGAATTAATCTATGGCTTCTGAATTGTTTGGTTTAAGACTGCAGAATTGTGCAAGCATTGTTTTGGGGGGTGCAAATTTGTCTTTGAAAATAATTATGTTTGCTTGTTCACAAGGGAGGACAATTAATAATATTATGACATGTTGATAAGGTATATACATATATGCCACTGACACCTAACAGTGATAGCTTGCATGAAAACAATTTTTCTTAAGTGCCATTAGTCTATTATGTGCTGACATTGACAAACACAACAAAGGAAATATGTACATATAGGCCTGTAACTACAGAGTGGATTTGCTTTTAATTAAAATATATAATTATAATTATATGTAATTGGAATATGTGGTTACTGCCAGAATTGATTAAGCCTAATTTGTGGCACAAAAAAAAGGTTTAGTTGACCTCACAAGAATGAGATGGCCTGCACCTTACATTTTGCATTGAAACTATCTAAAGAAAATTAGCAACCTATTGGTACTTGTGTCATATGTGACATGATGTTGTACTCCCAAAAGGAGTGTGAAGTTTAACAGATACATGAAAATATAATTGCTAATGCTAGTAGTGAGGGTAACCTGTGAAGCAAACCAGTGACCATGTAGTTCCTGGTGTCTTTTAATGTGGTACTAGAAATAGAGGATATTACACGGTGGCGAGAAGATATGAATTTTATGTCCGAGTGGCAAGAAC